CTAACAACTTTCATAATAAATATATATTAAGGAGGAGTTTTGGGCTACCACTTAGAAAGGAAATGCCTCATTCGTCAACTCCCTCGACCGAAGACTTGGGGGACTCTTATCATATGCTACTGCACCTTGATACTCAAAAGTTTCACGACCACTCAGTGACTTTGATTTTTCAAGTCTCCAACCGAGAAGTTTTCCTCACTCGGGAAATTAAGGGAGCACTACCTCAACATACATGCTTCACTCACAAAGCTTCAACATACAAGCTTCAATAAATGAAAAAAATTCAAAGAACTTAGTGAAGAAGACTTTGGTGTATTTAACACAATACGTTGAAATGAAGCAAAGCTCCAAAGCTTTACCTACAAAGCTTCAACTCCAAAGCTTCACCTACAAAAGCTTCAACACCAAAGCTTCACCTACAAAGCTTCAACTCCAAAGCTTCACCCAAAAGCTTCAACTCCAAAGCTTCACCCAAAAGCTTCAACACCAAAGCTTCACCTACAAAAGTTTTAACTCCAAAGCTTCACCTACAAAGCTTCAACACAAGGCTTCAACATAAAAGCTTCACCTACAAAAGCTTCACCTACAAAAGATTCACCCACAAAAGCTTCACCTACAAAAGATTCACCCACAAAAGCTTCACGCACAAAAGCTTCACCCACAAAACTTCAACACAAAAGCTTCACCTACAAAAGCTTCACACACTCTTGATCAAGATAGTGTAAAGTAAAATCAATTCATGGTACCCAACAAAGCTTCAACACCAAAGCTTCACCTACAAAGCTTAAAATATATATATATATTTTTTTTTTTTTTGGAAATTCGAAAATTGGAAAAAAAAAATTGCCTAGGCCTCCTCTTCTTTGGGCCTAACAACTTTCATAACAAATATATATGAACGAGCAGTTTTGGGCTACCACTTAGAAAGGAAATGCCTCATTCGTCAACTCTCGACTGGAGACTTGGGAGACTCTTACCATATGCTACTGCACCTTGATACTCAGAAGTCTCACGACCACTTAGTAACTTGGATTTTTCAAGTCTCCAACCGAGAAGTTTTCCTCACTCGGGAAATTAAGGGAGCACTACCTAAACATACATGCTTCACTCACAAAGCTTCAACATACAAGCTTTAATAAAAGAAAAAAAATTCAAAGAACTTAGTGAAGAAGGCTTTGGTGTATTTAACACAATACGTTGAAATGAAGTAAAGCTTATTTATTGATATCTCCAATAAGTTACAAATATGTACATATACATGAATCAAAATAAATAAACAAGAGGGAGCCTTCACAAAGGTTGCTCAGGAGAAGTCTCACCAGTCGGTAGAGCCCCAGAAAGAGTAGGCACCAGAGGTGATCATTCGGAGCCTCAGTACTAGGCAAAACCCCAGAAGGAGGAGGCACTGGAGGTTGATCATTTGGAGCTTCATTACGCGGTACAGCCCAAGACGACAAAGGCAATAAATGCCTTTGGAACAAACCCACAAACCTCTGATGATTAAGTAAAATCTGACCATCAGATTCCTGGATCTGGTCAAGTTTCCTCTTCATGTTTGTAGCATAGTCATGTGTGAACCTGTGCAACTGTTTATTCTCATGCTTAAGCCCTCTAATCTCCTGTTTGAGACTTATCACTTCAGCTGCCAATGATTCAACTTGGCGGGTTCGAGCAAATAGGCGTTGGGCCATATTAGACACAGAACCTACACACTAAACACTGAGAGCCAGAGAATCCTTAACAGCTAACTCATCAGACCGTTTGGAAAGTAGTCTATTATCTTTGGGAGTGAAAAGGTTCCTAGCCACCACCGCAGCGGTCATATCATTCTTCATCACAAGTCCCCAACGGTAAGATGACCAGTAAGGGATAAAAAGGATGGGCGCCATATGTTGTCTTGAGGAGGCATGTCTGCCTCTTCACCAAAGTTCAAGTCAAAACGATGGTCGGATAGGCCAGACATTTTCAGAAATGATGAAGGAGAAATGAGGTCCAATAAATCTCTGAATTACGAAAATAAGGAGAAAATTTCTATAAGCAATAACTTTCTGAACGTACTTTTTGCACACAATTGGTGCCCCTATAAAAGAAAGGGCAGCATGGCTGTTTGTTCAAAAATCGAAGAGGCACCACTCTCCGGATTTCGAGAAGCAGATTTTCCTGAGTAAAATATGTCGACAATCCCCACACGAAACATCAGTTCTTCGGGTACCACAGATAACTTTGTCAAAGATCTCTGACAAAGTTTAGACACATAAATTTTGAAGGTCCAGCTACCCTACCATTACCCACAAGGGTAAAGGAACAGCACCACTGCTTGATAACTGGAAAGTCCATATGTGTGTCAACCTCCGTGCTCCGTGGCAAAGCAGACTGGTAAAAATGCCCAACCTTTACTCACATCGAGAAAACACTCCCAATAGGATTACTTTCTCAAAAATCGAAGAAGCACCACTCCTCGAATCTCGAGAGCAGGCTCTCACCAGGATTACTTTCTTAAAAATCGAAGAGGCACCGTTATCCGAATCTCGAGAGCCAGACTCTTACCAGGATCGCTTTCTCAAAAATCAAAGAGGCACCGCTCTCTAAACCTCGAGAGCCAGATCCCCAATATGATTGCTTGTTCAAAAATCGAAAAAGCAACGCTCTACGAATCTCGAGAACCAGATCCCCAACAGTATTGCTTGTTCGAAAACTGAAGAGGCACCACTATCCGAACTTCGAGAGCCAGATTTCCTTGGATAAAGCTTGTCTGCAATCTTCACACGCAACATCAGCTTTCCAGATACCACAGACCACTTTTTCAAAGTGCTCTGACAAAGTTAAAACACGTGAATCTTGCAGCTCCCACTACATTGCTATGACCGAGAAGGGTAAAGGAACAGTGTTACCACTCGATGTTGGGACAATTCCTATATATGTCGACCTTCATCCTCCACAGCCAGGCAGACCTGCAAATAAAAAAAATGCTCAACTTTTCTTCACATCCGAGAGGGCACTCTCAGCAGAGTCTCTCGAAATACTCAGCTTCTTTTCCCCTATAATACCTCTGCAAACAAGCCACACCAAAGCAAGAGTATCTCATATCATTAGGGTTAAAAGCAAGAGTATCCCATATCATACTTTCTCCCTATCTTTTCCTTTGCCCTTGTTCTTACCTGCAAGACAAGGAGAAAGAGAGCAATCAGTCAGCACTTGGAATCAAGCTTCCAGTCAGGAACTGACTGCCTGGAACCGCTTGCCTGATTACTTACTTGGCATTGCTCTCGAGTACTCATCTTTAACATCTTATGCTTCCAGAAAAGATACCGCATCTGCCTGAGGAACAGATAGAGCAAGTGAGAAGGATACAAGGAAGCATGTGGAGACAAGCGTAACAGAACACGTGTCGATACGTCAACTACTTTATCAACAGCAGAAGTATCCCATATCATCAGGGTCGAACGTACTCTAGATTTGATGGACTTGTTTTGACCCTCAAATTCTTGAGTCGGCCTTATACTTTGGAGGAAACCAGAAAACCCTCCATCCCAATTCAAGAATAAGTCTGTGGAAAGTGACTTCTTCAAAAGCAAAAGTATCTCATATCATCTCTTCTCCTTTTTCTTCTCTTTATCCTTCTTGCTGCTTGCAAGATAGGGAGAATGAGAACAATCAGCCGGAACTCGAAATCAAACTTCTAATCTACGACTGATTGCTTGGAACTCTGATTGCTTACCTTGTCTGTTATCTTTTTCAGCAAATCTCCTAGCTCGGCCACTTGGGGAACTCCTACTAAATGGTTTATATCGCGCTTGACCAAGCCTGAAACTACAAGTAAGCTTCAAGTCAAATTGATACATTACTTTGTGCATCTCCACCGGTTAAAGATATCACCCCTGGATGGAGGAAAAGTACTTCCAGAGAAGATGCCACATCTACCTATGAGACAGATAAGGCAAGTGAAGACAATACCACACTTCGGTACTTAGAAGTTTCGTGATTACTCAGCGGCTTGGATCTTGTAAGTCCCCAACCGAGGAGCTTCCCTCACTCGGGAACTTAGGGGAGCACTATTTGTACCATACTTGACCAATCCTAAAACTACTGAGTATCGGTCAACGTTATACCATCAAGGGTCCAGAAGAATTTCGCTCCAACCAGGAGGCTAATGACATTAGAAGCCAATCATAGCGCGACACGTGTCAATATCAAAAGCCAATCACAACACGACACGTGTCAATGTCAAAACAAAGCTAGAAATTCTCTTCTATAAAAGGAGATCATTCTCCCACAATATTTCCTAATGTCATTTGTACTAAATCATTCACTGGTACTTACTAAATGAGAGCTTGAACATATATACTTGTGTAAACCCTTCACAATTAATGAGAACTCCTCTACTTCGTGGATGTAGCCAATCTGGGTGAACCACGTACATCTTGTGTTTGCTTCCCTGTCTCTATCCATTTACATACTTATCCACGCTAGTGACCGGAGCAATCTAGCGAAGGTCACAAACTTGACACTTTCTGTGTACCAAAGTCCTCATTGATTTTGTGCATCTACATACTCAATTGACACCGCTATACTTGTTTGTATTTTGATTAATGAAATATCATCCTTTGACTTGGAAGAAGACTTCCATTCTTATTTTTCATCAACGATTCAACTCTCTCTCTCTCTCTCTCTCAAAAAAGACTTCCATTCTCTCTCAAAAAAGACTTCCATTCTTATTTTTCATCAGCGTTCTCTCTCTCTCTCTCTAACTTTTATTTGGCTCTTCTCATATGATTTTTCTGTCTTCATTCCCTTGGCCCTTGTGCTCTTTTTATGGGCCTTGGCCCTTGTGCTCCTTTTATGGGCCTCCATTCGAAGAGTTTATGTTGCAATGTGCAACGTGTATGCATTTGGGTGAATCGGGTGGTTATACTTTCAAACGGTCATTAATTCAAACACCATATTCATTTAATCATAATTAATCCCAAGGTTCACAACGGAATATAAATAAAACAACAAACTTGTCCGCCAATACGAGCTTGGCTAGGAACTATGAAGCGATTGTTGTATACAGTAATAGATTTATAGTGTCATTTCGTACACTTGAACTTGCTTTCTCAAAGGAAACTTCTGAATTCATATCTCATACGACAAATTAAAAGAGAGAAGATTTATGATAGTACTTTCATTAAAAAAACAAATAAGTTGAACCAATAGGTCTTTTCATCAAAGTAACCTACAAATTATTCGTGTATCAACTAACTTTTCCACCAATTAAAGTTTAAGGGCAGGTGGGACTTGACAAAATCCACCATAACTGGATACTCATTTATAGCCTTCACATCCACGCCATTTCTAAGCAGCTGAGGGAAGAACAGCCAATTGGCCGTCACAGCCAAGAACAACAACGTCAACGGCCACGAAACAACCGGTTTTAACCGCCACCTGTTGGCCACTGCCTTCTTGACCTCCACCTCGATTGCCACACACACCCCATGCAGCACAAAGAACCATGTCACTTCCCACGTCGGAGGCACACGTGCCAGATAGTAATAAATCACCTCGTGCATTAGACCTGAGACCACAAAAGTGGACATCATAGCGAGAAATCGGGCCAATCGAGGCCCGACTACACGCGTGAAAACATTGCGTACGGGGTAGTACGTAGTGGGTCGTAAAATCTTTGTGACCATGAGGTTCCATCTACGGCCCCAAAAGTCTTGAAGCGAAGTGGAAAGGTAAGGCTCGTTGGAATGCGGCTCGAGCTCAAATCCAAAAACGGCTCGAGCCGGGGTCGCAAACAGGGGTAGCAAAATTTCTAGCCCCAGGTACAGGTGGCAGCAGTACAAAGCCAATATAACATACGGGTGTAAATGTTGCCTATAGTCATATGATCCGACGACCAAAGCCAAAAGCAAGGCTTTTACAGCAAACAGAATTGACTTTTTACCAATTGGGTAACTTGTGTTGTCTGATTTTGTGGCGTTTGGGGGGATTTTGTGATCTGGGTTCTGATTTGAGGGTGATTTTTGAGGTGGGTTTTGCTTGATTTTGATTGGGAGGATAGCTAGGGAGATGAATTGGAAGAGGGGTAGTGGGGGTGGAGAAGATAGAGGGCCATGATCAAAGGAGAAGAGGAGGAGCTTAAAGGTGGCAAGCCAGACGAGCAAGAAGGTGGTGGGCCCACCAAGGTGGAAGGAATGGAGGTTTAAGGGGAGGAGGATGAAGAGGTAGAGGATGGGGAGGAGAGAGAGGAGCCTGAGGATGCCCTTTGGGATTCTGGATGATATGTAGAAACAATAACACAGAGATATGTTGGCTAGGAAACATACCTTGATGAAGTTGTAGATTTCACCCTCCATTTCTGGTTTGGTCTGGTCTCTTTCTCTCTCTAGATTTGTATCCTCTCTCTACAAAGATATAGGGAAGGGAGGAGTATTCAAGTTGTGTTTGAGTTTGGGGATTATGGTAAATGAATAGGTTGGGTGGAAGTTAAAACTTCTGTTAAACCTTGTTAGTTGGGCCTTAATTGCACTACACATTGGCCCTTTGCTTGTATTTACTGCCCTTGCAGTCTGTTGGTTGTTGGATCTGAACTGTATGTGTTTCGTGAGTTCATGTCTATAAGTTGGTTAAGAGAGTACTCTTCTTCCTAGCACTCGAGGACCCAAATTCAAATTCATCTGTATGGACTATGTAACCAAAAAGAAAACGAAAACTGAATAAAAACCTATAAAAATCGTAGTTCTAACCGAGAATATATCTACGAAAAAAAGGCAGAATCCCCAATTCACAAGTCCGCAAATTTTAATTTCTAAAATGGTATTAGATCAAGAACTAGATTTTCACTCATTCAATTGGTGTTTTATAGATGCTTAGGAAGGAAGTTGAAGTTCCTCACTTACCAAAAACATGAACACAACATGGCGGCATGAAGAAAAGATCAGGGGAACGCAGAAAAGACACCGAAAGGACTCAAATCCATGAAGCTCGCGGCACAAAGTTTTAACTTATTTAACCATCCTGGAGTGGAGCATATAGTTCAGACACAATTTATAGGGATATGATAACCGAACCGCTACTAGTTGAGAAAACAGAGTCGGCACTGGTTGAGATAACACCGGTACAATCTGCCAATCATCATCCATCAGCATTTGGGCGTCATGGCAATGATCGTGAATTTGAGAGTCAGAACGATGTGCTTGCTTCATTCATAGTCGCTTGTGACGCAGAGATGTGACCATTCTCTTGAGCTACTGCCCTGTGCTCGGCAGACCAATCAGGAAGGATGGCTCCATAGATAGAGTGGAGGTAGCCTCATCCATTCATCCATTTGTTTCCCATTCGCATCAGCAGATCCAGAGAGATGGGAGAACTAAAAGGAGACGGTAAACCGTTAAATTTGAAGTCTAAATTTTGATTCAGATTGATCCTTCCTGGGTGACAAATGCAACTTGTTAAGATCCGAACAAAAGGATTTAAGTAATTTGGGAAGATAAAAAAAATCATGCATCTTGATCTGGGCAACAAGACGATAACTGGTTACAAACTCTTCTGCCTACGTGGCTATCTCATGGGAATAAATCTTCGGGAACAAGGCAAACTCACTCATTTAGCCAAAGTAAGAAGAAAAAAGGATGGAAGAACAAACTAGTAAAATATCATAAGTTTCCGTTCAAGATGCAACTAAAATAATAAAGTGGCATGAAGTACAATGTTGCCAAAACACTTGTATTTAATACACCAGCATTTACTACTCTTATGTACAAAAAAGGAGAACCTACTTATCACATTGTACCTGTTTTACTCATTCAGCCAACCTGCTGAATTTTGGTTCGAATAGCTTTGGTGAGGACCGGGAGCAAAACCCATGGAGCCACCATGTTGACCGGGCCGGGGTGCCCTGGGATCATAAGTGCCGTTGCTACTGGACATGTGCGGTTGATATCCTATAGCAGGTTCAGATCCTAAGCGGCCCATCCTCGTGTGGTTCAATTCATCCAACCGAGGTGCATACCGCTGCGTGACTGATGTGTTCATTCTGTACGATAACTCAGCTGCAGGACCAGGATGACTATGGCTGTCAGTAGATGAATACGATCCAATCTGTCCACTCACAGAATCCTGACCCACCAAATAATTACTTCTTGAAGAATCAAAATCTTGCTGACCATAAAGGCGAATCTGAGAGCATACGTCAGACTCCCTCCTAAATGCATCTTCTGCCTGTGTACAACCAAGGCAATCCAATCTCTCTCTCGTGTGCCCCACAAACAATTCCTCCAAGTTTGTAGCCCTATAACCAGAATTGGGACCGGTAGACCATCTATGAGTCAGACTCGAGTAAGGCTCATCATTGCTCATGGAGAAGCTCCTTCTACCTGTGTCATCAGCAATGTTGAACTTTGTCCCACCATAAGTAGTTCCGAACTGCATGCTTGAACCAGAGTTGCCAGGCTCAGAATGCTGATCTCCTTTTTCAGCAGGCTGAATGCGTGGCAGAATTTCCTTGCATATCTCATCAATGTTGTTCCCATCCCCAGGACTCTCGGGTTTTATGCCATCATCAATCAGCATAGGCGCTTCACCATATTGATCATTATTACCTATTGACCGACTGTTATTTAAAGAGTCAGAATGATCTTTCGTATACCCTGATGCAGTGATGTGACCATGCTCTTGGGCTATAGCCTTGATGTCAGCGGACCAATCAGGACGACTCCAGAGATAAAGTGGTGGCGGCGTTACATTCCATTGATCCAATTGTTTGTCATTCGCATCAACAGATCCGGGGAGATAAAAAGACTGAATGGAGACTAGTCACCAGTAAATTCACATTCTAAAATTTCAAAACAGATATTAAGATTCAGCCAGTTGGGTAAACACATACCTTTCCTGACAGAAACTGGGTATCCTCCCAGATCAAATCATAAGGCGATTTCTTTTCATTTAACCTGATGAAAGACACAAATGTAAGAAACTATATGCAAACTGAAGTCCAACTCAAAGGCATGGCCACATTTATGTATGCCTTTGTGTTTAAAAAAGAGAGAGATGAACAACGGCAAGCAGCTACCCTTGAGTTTCTGGTGGAACAATAAGAATAAGGAGCTTTGGATTGAACTCAAGAGCCTTGTCAATGAACTTGTTTGCCAAAGCTGCTTTAACTCCGAAAGGAGGGTTTAACCCCATGATCTGCTCAAGTAGAAAAGTTGTGGAGACTGAAACAATTAACACAAAGGTTCTAAAATTCAAATGTCTTGATGAAATAAAAACAACCACCAGTTTCCTACCAATTGTGACCCTTTCGGTAACTCCTTTGGTTTTACTTTCATCCAATCTCTCTTCTCAAAACAGAAATCATTCTGCCAAATGAAAATACACACAAAAAAATCAGTTTCCCAGTTTTGATGTTTTAAGCCAGTAAAATGCACACTTAACAGCCTTATACCCAACATAGGGAACGAGAAAGAAATGAAAACAATCTTAAGAGATAAAATTGGTCGCAATACGTTTTTTACTTAAAAATGAGGATGAAAAGAATCAAGAGCGAGCAATATAACTCCCAGTGCTGGTTGTCGAAATTGCATTCCATTGTAAGTATAAACCTCATAAAAGCCAAATCTGAAATACAATAGGTCTTCACAGTGGAAGCACAATGTTACTTGCATACCGTTGAGAGTATTAATCCCATGTTGGGGAAAGAAGGGACATTGCATGCGCTTATAAGTAATTACTCTCCACATTGCCAATTGGTTTTATGGTGGAACCACAACTTTCTTCATGGTATCAGAGCCGATTGTCCCATGTATGAAGCCCAACGGCCACACGTGCTCCACATCACCGATTTGTGTTGTCCACATGTTAGGCTTGAAAATTCGCCAAACGTGAGGGGCGTGTTGAGAATATTAATCCCATGTCGTGGAAAGAAGGGACCTTACATGTGCTTATAACTAATTAGGCAACTCCCCATATTGCCAAATGGTATTATGGTGGAACCCCAACGTATATATCCTATAGGCTATTATCATCCAACTACATGTTTGACCACATCCTCATCCCTTATTACGTTTTCCATCAGAAGTGAAGTGCAAAAATATAATGAATAGCTACTCCAAACTTTTCAACCTTTATCAAGTAATGGCTGAAAATGCATCTGATAAAGAAAAAGTAGTTCATCCATCATTCTTTTTCCGGGTACATTTGTTTGTTGTTCATTATATGGAGCGTGTCTCATAATCTCACTTACTCTGAAATCCCATCAACTGAAATTTCAGGGATAGACTATAAAGCTACATCGGGTGTGTATATTTCTACTAAGTGGTTCAGACCCATCATAAACAGTTAGTGAATAACTTCTAATGCTGCAGAAACAGTTCTAGTTTCTACCTTACATCATATCCCACATTCATCAGTGGTGAACAATGCAACCATGTTTGCATATGTCATAGGTAATATGAATGATGCGGATTGACCAACATTAAAGACGTACATGAATGACTATTACCTTCGGTTGAATACAGTCATAGTTTTTATAAAAGCAATTCTTCCCCGTCTCTTCAAGTTTCTTCTTCATTACAATGCTGAAATCATTGGCACCACAACAGAAGTCCACTATCTGTACATTGGAATAAAAAGTAATCAGGTACTACCCAATCAACATTATTTTGATGTCGAGGTAATCGACATTGAAAAAAAAGAAAGAAAAAAAAAAAAAAAAAAAAAAAAAAATATATATATATATATATGTAATAAGTCCTTTTAGCCAAAAGGATGAGATTGGCATACATAACTCCTCACTTTGGTCCCTGACAATGAAAATCGATAGAAGTGGTCCTTGGTTTGTCCACCATAAATCATTTTGGTCATTCCGTGAAAAATCCGTCAATATCCTTGTTAAATTGTCACGTGAAAGACCACATGACCACCTTTTTAAGGGTATTTTTGTCAAACCAACGCCTTAACAAGGACATGGACAAATTTTTCATGGAATGACCAAAATGATTCACAGTGGACAAACTCAAGGACCACTTTTATCGATTTTCATTGTCGGGGACTAAAGTGAGGAGTTATGCCAATCTCAGGGACCATTTTAGCAAAAAAGCCTACGTAATAATAAAGAAACCCAGGCCCATCCTACATAACAACCTAAGCTCATGATCCAACATTAATTTCACGTTCAATAAGGAATCACAACCACAACAGTTCTCTTTCTTATCATATAATATGCACTTTGAGAACAAGAAGACAGCCATCCAACAATAAACTGGCTTATGACTTCTGCGGTGAATATACTTATTGCAAGTTCAATTGTGTAAAGTCAAACAAAAGTAATAACTTTTTGGGTACTAGATGCTTCTGTTGCAGTTTTGCAGAAAAAGAACAACTATGATTCAACATTTTTTTATGAGAAAACAATTTTATTGATCCCATACAAATACTTTAGACCGGGTAGTCCACTAAATAAAATGCATCTAAAAGCAGCCTAACTAGAAACTTTTAACTAACAGAAACGCAAAAAAGCTGAACAGAAACATTTCCGAGCACAGCCAAGGAATAGTCCTCAGAAGTACACTAGATCATCCCATTTCGAAAAACTTTTCTCTAATAAGTGCAGCACTGTTCTTTAGTTTCATTGTTATACAGTTCCTTATTGACATTACAGCTGTACTCTAATTGACCTTTAGGGTTTGTCATCAGGTAAACCATTCATCTGCTGAAGTTTTTCTCCTTTGACAATAAATTTTGATGCTTCTGCTATTGTAAAGATGTCAGGTCCTAGAAGTAGTCTCTGAAAGAACTCTATGTTGATACGAATAATGCTGCAAGCTTGCCACAGTTTGTGCCATTGTCATAATCCATGTTGTCACAAACTCAGATGCCGAACATAGTATAAGATTTATACTTCAGTTGGCCTTTAGGTGAACAAATAAAGCGTTCAGGTTGAAGCTTCTAAGAAAAGGAATGCCTCACCCAGGAAAAAGTCCAATTGTGCAAACAAAAAATTACGCATATGGTAAGACAAACAAGAGTCATCAATTGCATAACTAAAAGAAACATCCAAAAGACATACACCTATGTACTAAAATTATCTCACAGATAAAAGCATATAGATCCATACCGTATCTCCATCTTTTGCATACCAATGGAGCCTATCAGCAATCTGCATATTAAACTCAAGCTTTTAAAATTCTTCAAGGTTTCATTAAGTTCATAATACATGCTCAACGGCTAAAGTTGCAGACCAGATAAATAAGAGGTAAAACTATGTGAGAGTAAATCAAAATTGAATAACCATATAGTATATACCAACAGAGTTTAATTCACAAAACGATATGTGAAAGCACGAGTAAACCAAAAGTCCGCAGCACTGTGTGAATTTTTGGGTGATTTGGTGGCAAGTCACACTAGAATTTCGAAGATTAGATATTTTTGCTCTTTTGTCTAACTGGTGAACCTATTGTCCGATACTGGAGATTATCTTGCAACTTCTTGACCTTGTCTACTGACAAAGTTTTCCTTCTCAACAGAAAACAAATTAAAGAAATCCAAAAGTCATGTTGGATCTCATTATCTTTAAAACTGGAGGAAGCATAACACAACCATGAATTTTTCAATGTCAAGATGAGCTTAAGCATAAGCAACCACACCAAACATGCGTGGGTTGGACAACTTCATAAAGGCAAGTTTCCTCTAAATAAATAATTCATTAAAGCCCAAGCTGAGAAAAAAGTATAAGCAGTAATAAGTTAGCAAAAGAGTGCATCATAACTTTGAAATATAAAAACCTTGAACACAACCAAATTACCTCTTTTAATTTGTCCACCTTTGTAAAATGACGACCAAAGGACGTGTAGCGCATTCCATGCATGAAAGGTGCAAGATATACTCTCAGCTTGTTCTGCATGAAAATGAATCAATAAATTAATGGGAAACTAGAAAACACAACAGTTATCTGATGAACCTTTAATACACATATTACGTACAAATAAAATCCCATAACAAACTCAACCACAAAAAGAAAGAGAAAACAGGAAACAAAGAAAAATTAAGATCAGAGAGAGAGAGAGATGCTACAAATATAGCTCTTAATATAGAGTTCAGGCACAGGGATGCACAAAACGCTCGCCATTACACATTTGAAAATGTAACATGTCACAAACTTAGCTACAATAATGTATAGAATTCATATGTGAATGAACCTCTAAGCATGTACCAAATGACTTCCTTATCAAAGTGTGGACTAACTTTGCCTACCCTAGAACAATGTGGATGAAGAATAACAGCATATGCCAACCTAGTAAGGTTGTCAGTCAGCTTAATACAGGTCATGTTTTTAAATGTTATTGGCTCATTTGAGCTTGGCTTGTAAAGAAACAAGCCACTCAAAAAAATTACTACAGCGTGATATGAAATTAAAAATACAAGTCAAACTAGTCAAGATAGTATCTAACTCGGATTTCATCACAAGACACCTCTCTTTGAATTGAGGTTGCCTCATTTATTTGTGCTTCAGGTGTGAGGTCCATATCCTTCGCTCTTCTATTTAAATTTATATTTGTTACATGATTATTTATTTCTTTATTCACTTATGTATCAATATTTTCCTAAAGTCATTATGTCAAGTCACGCTTTAAGCTCATTTTGCTCTAAATTCAGCTTAAACTAATGCAAGCCAACCTCATGCCTGAAACCAACATTCAAAGCCCAACTTAGAGCCTAGTTAGTCAAGCATGCTAAAACTCAGCAAATTAAGTTTTAGCACTATGATACTAAGTTTAACTTGGCCCCACACCCGAACCACAAACCAAGCATAACCTGAACTAAAAGAATAGACAATTAGCTGAGATGTGTAAGTCTAGTACACATGGCACACAGACAGCAAACATCAATGCTGGAAACCTAAAGCTTAAAACAATATCAAGATGAATAATCTTAGCTTAATCATAAGTTGTAGGATAGCGAGACTGGATTAGAAAACCACCTTCCACTTGTAAATCTGGTGAACAACCTCAGGAGCACAAACAGCCTCTGAATCTTCAGCACTGCATCCTTCCTCTAGTTTCCGTAACGCCGTTCGAACAGCCTATAATACACGTGGATATCATTATCAAACACATGATAAGAGAAATCATCAAAAGTCCACACTTTTTTGCCGTGCAAAATAGCAGTTGAAATTTCCCAGTGATGTACCTCAATTGAGCCTTCTACCTTTCCCATTGTAATGCTCCTTTCCACAGCATTTTTGGATGAGGATTGATGAGTCGATGGAACTGTGTGCTTTCTTATAACATCTTCCAGAGTTATTGAAGACGCAGCATCTTTCATTAAAGACAATAGCCTGAATTGCAAGAAACAAATCAAAGAACTACTCAAACCTTAAATCAATTGTCTTGTCTGCAACCGTGGTAAGTCCTTGTAAAGTATCCAATCATATACGTGTGTGTGCACACACATGTGTTGAGAGAGAGAGAGAGAGAGAGTAATACACACACACACACTCTCGAATATACTAGTCCCTAGTCCAATTTTAGTTTTTTCTTATTTTTTAAAAACTCGACGCAAAACTAATGAAAAGGAGATGATGGGTACGTGGGTTGGGGGGTAACCACTAGCCCAACCTACCTGGGGTTTGATCATAGTATTTTAATTTACTTTGAGTTTTCAAATTCTTGTTAGTTATTTACACTTTACCCCAGTATATTAAGTTAAATGGTGTAGTTTTAGTATTTTGAATTTTCACCTTCAAGGCATTCTCCCTTATATATTAAATGAAAGAGGTAATGCTATTAACAAATGCTTTAACGAGTTATAAAGCAAAAACAGAACAGAATTGGTAAATAATTTCAACTTAAGTTACCTCCTCTCTGTAGCTGCATCTAAAGATGGTGGTGCGCTGGTCAACTTTTTTGAGGCAGGATTAAATATTGCCAAATCACGCTCCCCATCAGGTTTGCCCTGCTTCCCCGACTTCATTTGCAAAGACTCCTTCCTATAGGCATATAGCTGATCACCCAATGAGGTATTTTGTTCCCCAGCCACAGAAATCTTAGCTTTCTTTTTCAAAGCACAATTCACTTTCAGCTTTCTTGATGTATCTAACCCAGCAGGTAGTTTTTTACTAATTCTGCTACCACCCACTTTTGCGGTAGAAGATGACTTCAGCTTCTCTTTAGATATCATAGGAGCAGTTTGACCCCTAGAGAATTCTTTGGTGGAAAGCTTTCTCTTATTCGCCACAGATATCTCTCTATCTTGAAGGGATTCTGATGTCCCTTTTTTCTTTTTCTCTACAAAATCGGTCTTCTTTCGAATAAAGGTAGTCCTCTTTTCTTTAACTCTAGGGAATTTTATGTGGTCCCTTATTGGCGTTTCAATGTCTTTAATCATCTCATGTTTTCTAATCCAAAGAAAAAGAAAAAAAAGCATTCAGAAAAATTAAATCAAACAAAATAATGAACAAAATCAGCTCACAAAAATAATACTTACGTGCAATATATTAGTACACGGTTAGGTAATAGATGTTCCCAAGCTCTTGTTGTTGTACCTTCATCCTCTGTGTCTTCCTCCTCTTCGTCTTCATCCTCTTCATCTTCCTTTGTTTTTTCAAATACAATCTCCCTGATACAAGCAATTTAAGCATAAGCCATCTTTACACGGAAAAGAAATAAGACCAAAGCATGGTCTCCTAAGAGCATATAAAAATAAAAACAAAAAAGAACAATTAAGAAGATTACTCTGGCAAGCATTTCCTGTGGTAGGATTTAGGACAACGCCGACACACAGCAAACTGCAACTGAGGATCCTTCTTGTTCTCTCCTTGTTCACAAATGCAGCATTTATGAATCGGACACGTAAAAGATTCCCCCAGAGCAATTTTTTTCTCAAGTTCTTCAGCAGAGACTCCATTGTCTTTATAAATGAGTTTTGCAATGCAATGTGGATGGTAAAATTGACCACAGGTTGCAGAAACACAGGGGAAGACCTAACAGAATTGATAAAAATGTTTGAAGTGTAAACCAAACATAAGAATAATACTTTGATGACGGCAATACAAAAAGGCAGAAAACAGCATAAGACTGATGAAAACAATAGGAAAAGGTAGAAAAGGCAGTATAATACTTTGATTATGATATATATATATATATATATGTATGTATGTATATGTATATGTATATGTATATGTATATGTATATGTATATGTATATGTATGTATGTATATGAGTCCCTTCTATTGAGGGATCACTAGAATAATTTTATCAGAGGGACACCTTGTATAGTCTGCTCTGGATTATAGTATAATGATTTGAATAGTCTATTTTCATTCATAGATCATACTTGAAAAAAAAAAAAAAAAGATGGTCACCGTTCCAAGAAAACACTAAAATGACAACATTTAATTGAATGGTTAAACTATTTCCAATTTGGGTGTTTCATTGCAACGATGTTCTTTGAGGGAAGGACCTAAAAGTTAGACCGTTCGGATCATTGAAATATAATGTGGAGTGGGCACTATCTTGTGTCCCTCAATTAAGCTTATTTAAGAGATCCCTCAATTAAGCTTATCTAACATATGACTAATCCTCCCAGTAAAATTAACAACGAAACGTTAAAAATTCCAGACCCTTTACTAAAGAAATTAAACTGCTTTACAAACCCCAGTTTAACCAGTTGCTTCTTGGATGCGCAGGTGGTATTTGAAATGATTGGTTTGTGTTGGTTTTGCACCCGGTTGCCTTTGCATTGTTGGAAATTGACTCACTGGGTTTGGTCAAAGTAATAGAGCTCAAATAATAAAAAGGTGCGTTGTGAATCTGTGATGAGTGATGACCATTCTTAGGGTACCATGGATGCAGAGAAATGCCAAGTTTTTCCAAGAAACTGTATTTGGGATAAAACTACATGTTTTATCTTCTCTTTAGGTTTCCACTTCAAAGAGTTTTAAGGGGTACCACTCTGTTTATGATAATAGTCTCTACATGTTCACAAAAGGCTAGTCTTACATTATTATCCTGCATTGCCGAAGGTTATTCATATTTTTATTCTTCCAGATGATTTAAGGATAATTATCATTCTATGTGTTACACCTTTCCTATTACCAAAATACATTTCTCATTGAAAGAACAAAAAAATTAACCAGGAAAATAAATGGGTAAAGAATTCAGACTAAAATGACCATGCTCAAATTCGTACCAGCACCAGGGATATTCCATTAATTAACGATGGGCCAGATGGAAAATATTGAGTAGAATGAAAATCAAGAAGGAAGAAAGCATATTATAAAAATAAAAAATAAAAACAAAAAAGGAATTCCAACAAGAAATGACGCTCAAAAGATGAAGAACTAAAAACACACTGAAGAAAAGATGTAGGTAGTAACCTAAGATAGCATCATAAAAAGCACAACAAAGGAGACGAAAAGAAGTATAGTCAAAGAAAGAGATCAACAGAGCGTAGCAGAAGAATTTGAGCGAGTATACCTAACACTATAAACTGATCCCAAGAAGCTAAATTCAGAACAATACATCATGTTGCCACACAAACAAAATTAGAACACTACGTCAGTATTGCTTCATTACGAACAATGTAGAAAAACTAAAAAATTCATGGTTCTGAAATTACATCCTTAAACTAATCAAGCTAGCATGTAAACACCAGCTATGTAGAAAATAATTCATACCTCAGCCCCTGAAGATTTATCAGAGGAGCCTAACTTCCCACAAGCATAGCATTGATGTTGTTTATGTTGACAGTTCTTGCAGAAGAAGTTTTGAATTGCCTGCCAAGTTCAGAGAATAAAATACAATAATCATAATATCAATAACAAAAAGAAACCACCAAACGGAAAGAGAAAAAGATTCACATCAAAAGTAAATAAGAAGAGCATACTTCTACTTCATCCTGGGTAAAGCCAAGGGTCTCACACATAGAATGCTCACCATCCTTGACAGTTGCGTGAAATGACCTTAGGCATCTCCCTTCACAACTGCAGAGCGAAAAATATATATGTGGATGCAGTAACTTCTAGGAAATCAAGTTATTTAAAAAATGTTGATATCATGAATCTGTAATAAGTATTAGCAACAGAGCATACCGCAAAAGATCGCCACCATCATCACATAAAGCACAAACAGAATCAAACAGGTTATCATCGTCGTTGGACTCGTCTTCAGCGTCAATCATATCTTCTTCCGTATCATCAACTATAAATCCAGGTTTTGTTGTAGCTTGAATGTCCTGAAAATCCAATGAGTTCACTGGCTCAAACACAATAACATGAAACTAAAAGAAAAATTAAAGAACTAAAGGATAAAATTGTGCTAATGAAAGTGAAAACAAGTAAGCAGTAGAAGATGACCTGATCATACAGTTTCCTCTTGTTGGTCTTCTCTTCAAGTAAATTGACTAAAAACTGTTTCAAAACACAGTTTGCAATTTTATTCAACCATGCATAAACATAAGGACAGTTTGTAGTTCGTGCAGAACGATAAGAACAGAAAATAATACGGATTGAAAACAAAATGAAGCTAAAATCAAGTGAAAGAAGAGCAAGCAAAGAGAAAGGTTGAATCATAATATAATTCACACAACAGAAAGTTTGATTCACCATCTAAGGTTCATATTGTCAATTAATGAATAAGCAGGTAGTACTTAGAGATCAACATGTTCACATAAAGGTTCCCAAATCTATAAGTTTTAATTTTACATTTAAAACAAGAAAGGGGAAGGATGAAACAGTACTGATTTGCCTGCTCCAAAATCAAGATTGAAAACCTATATTGAAGAATACCAACCATAACCACCAAAATACCCCAACTCAATAAATGATTATGCAGTGTGCCACTTCTACCTATTACTGTAATACAATTTATATGTTCAAACAACTTGATGTGATTTGACATTGATGAGAAGTATCTCACAGATTATCTCAGGCAAAAATCCTTGTTCGTTCATTCAGAACTGAAAAACTTGTCGCAGAGCATTTAAAGTACAAAAATCAGGTAAAGGACGATTTTGGTGAATTTTCTCAAGATGGCTCCAAGAACAAGAACTTTGAAGAGCATGACCAGCATACTATGCATCTAACAGATGGTGTCTACTTAACCTACGTATGTTGAATTTTCCCAGACATGCTTCCAACATTAGGAATTTGACTAAACGTTCATTTGCACTACACAGAAGGAAAAATAGTAGAAAATAGTACTCTGAAATATCTGGAAACTATATACTGATATGAATTGTTAGAAAATGACTAATTACATGGTACAGTTACAATGATAAGAAAAGAAGATAGACAAAACCTTGCACTTTGCTAACGCATCATCCCGTTTAAGAGCTTCACTAATTAGAGGAATGTGATTCACCAGGTCATTCTCAGAAGGCTTGACCTCGTACAAGCTGCAAAATGAGAAAAACCGTCAAACTTGGGTGTAGGAAAACGATTGAAAGTGAAGAGGTGTTTAAAAGATCCAAAGATACCTGAAAACTTTAGATAAGTGATCCCACAAAGATTTGCCGGATGTCTCAGGATTTCTCCTCACATAGTGAAGGAACTGCACTGTTATCAAGATTGACCTTATTACTTCCTCGAAGCTCTTCCTCGGCTTCTGAAGGTTGAGCCAGTTATTTTCCTTAGAGAGCAACGATATCTCAGGATCGACATTGGAAAGATCAAACCGCCATGCGATAACATGCTTATACAGTTTCTGAAGCCCATTATCGGCAGTGCCACGCACAAATATCTGCATTTTCTTGCCGTCTTGCCTCTCACCCTCACTCCACTGAATTGGCAGAACGTGAAATGAGATGGGTTCATCCTTGTCATCTACAAAATGGTAATTTGAAACGGATTGCAGCACCGCCTCCGCCTCATCATCCGACGATTCCATGCCCTTATTCAACTCTCACTATAAATTCACACAGTGCAAAAAACAACAGAAAATAGAGGGAGATAAAAGCTACGGAATCGAATTGAGAAATGGGTTCTAGGCAGGGTTAATAGAATTATCGGGAATTCTTGGAACCAAAGTCGAAATTGGACTAACGAAATTGATAATTTTTGCTTTTAATTTGAACCCTAAAAGGAAAATTAAAAAAATAAATTGGGAATTGAACAATTGTGTACCTGATTGGATTGAAGAAAAAACCTAGCTTCGTCCTCAAACGCTCTCAATCACTTTCTCCACTTTGCTACGAAATTTGAATTTCCCCTTGTATATGTGGCGGTAGGGAAAATTACTCCGTACTGGCCAGGCGCATCGCCGTGTCGTTTATTGTAAATAATGGTTTGAGACCGTGAGGGTCTGAACGCACGTAGTGTTTTTTTTTCGCGCCCGATTATGACACGTAGTCGAAAGATCCTGCATTTCCCCTTTAATTTAGTAGAGATTTTTCAGTGTCGTGAACACGGCTCAGTACATTTTGGCTCACAACCAATTTTGATACAACAATTGGACGGGAACAACACTTAGCTCACAACCGATTTCATGCAAGTCTTCCCAAAATGAAGGTTAGAACCAAAAAATTCATATTCAAAATCCCCTAAACAAGTTTTACATGACAGTTAGCACCCTCTTTTTTACGGGTAGCAAAAGTTAGAAGAAAAACAAACAGTAACAAAGGGCTAGCAAATGCAAGTTATATACGAAGTTTTTGGCACCTACAATTGCTTCTTCGTACATGATACAACAACATTGGCTCATGTCCAGTGTCGATCAATGTTGAACTTGAGATGATCATGTACAGTAACAAATCAAAATTAACATGTAGTTATACTCCCCATTTCACTCAAATTTGAATCCTCTTCCCCGCACTTTATATCAATTTAGTGTACAATGTTGATTGTATAAAAAGAAAATGAGGAAAAACTCATTACTCTATTATCGGTTGTAACCAGCACTGGCTAGTTTCTCTCCCACACATTGTTAGTAATGTTTGTATGCGATTTTGTATTTCATTTAGTTAAGAGCTTGAAGAAAAAATGGAATGATTTTCACTTTGGATTTTCTAGGAAGGAAGAAGACGGTGATTCAGTGATATCTCACACACTGCATGAGCAAAATATTGCCCTTGCAAGGAGGGGAGCCTTCTCTCTCTTACGTCATAATCAATCTAGCCATTCAAATAAAACACCATATAAGATGCTTACAATGGTCATGAGTTATGACTCACTACAGCTAAATCTAAGTGATGCACATAGATTATGATCCAATGGTTCACATTAGACCAGCAATTACACTTAACTAAACAAAAACAAACTTGTTCAATTCTAATTGATCTGCAAAGAGGAGCCCCTCAATAGTCAATACCACGGTCTGGTGGTATTTCCCTTCACTAGGAATTGAGAGGTCTTAGATTAGAATCTCGTGGATGGCGAATTCAATACCAAATTAGGCTGCTTATTTCATGGCTTAGCTGAACTCCCTCTCTCCTTAGTGTAAAAATATCAATGTACTCAAAAAATTGATCTACAAAGAGGTTTAAACATCAACACACATGTACTTCCATCCTCAAATAAATGCAGACAAGGATGTGTGCATTATAAATTTATGTGTGTGTAGCACTACTTGAGAGTGGTGGGCAAAAATGCACCCCAACATAAAAGGGTAGTGTTATTAACAGACCTGTGTTAACTTTTGTTTATTGATCTTCTTTAATTAATTTGATACAGAACCATTTAGTTTCCAAAAAACAGAAACTTTAATAAATTAATATTTAACAATTTTGAAGACCGAGATGAAAACCAAGCTCACATGGACAACAATCTGAAGTACAATCGAGTTTTGCGGCTGAATCCGGTAAATACAGTACAAATACCAACTCAACGACCTAATAAAAAGAAAAAGAAATTTTGCTGCAAACTTTGAAAGTCAAATTGTATAACACGTAACTGATATACAAGTAACAAAATTTCTGGCATTTAACTAAAATAGGTTAAGATTAATCTCGTTAATAGATAGATTGGACGCCTAAACTAACTTAAGGGTATCAAAGGCACTCAAAAATATTACAAATTACAAGCTTAAAAATATTTAATCAATGGACCTCAATCGATAAGCAAAATTTTCAAAACTAAACCTAATAAATGAGTGTAAATGGACTTATATCTTATTAGGGTCGTTACTGAGGATGGGTGAGAGGGTCGACTGTTAAAATGATTCGAAACTAAATCTTTGTTGCCATACCTCATCGTTTTAGAATTAAATTTTGAATCATTTTAGCCAATTGCTCAAATTAATATTTATTTAGCCCAATATTTCTATAAGGACCCAACTCTTATTTAGCATGTTTTAAGCCAAGAAAGTTTGCATACGGAGAAACAAGATTTGCAATTTTATTTTTCATTTGAAAACAATGTGTCAAGAAGGATCCATTGTTGCTTTTCGCTGGATCAACAAAGACTCATTGGTAAACCTTAAAATAATTGGCGTTAATGTTAATAAGATAACATTCCAGATGTTGTATTATTGGTGTGGTGCCCCGTCAGCCATTAGTGAATGGATAATGCCAAGAGATCAAATTTGCAAATCAAATTATGTATCACTAATAAGAGACAAGTAAGTTAATCGATACTTAATTGATAATCCAATCATCTACAACCACATCATTTGGTTTAAAAAATTTGGTCTCCCTAATTACCCAAATTGTAGAATACATAATAGAATAGATCAAAAGAACAAAAGCACTAAGAGATAATAAAAAAAAAACACAAAATATGTTGCCGTGAGTAGTAATTAAATGGTATGTAAATATGTTGGAAATATTAGGAATCCTTTATTAGGAAGGATATATGTGTGTGTCCTTTATTGTTTATTGTTTCCTTATAGAATAAGGATTGTATGTAATGCCCCGTATTAAAAAAAAATGGTTATATGTATATATGTGTGTATGTGGGTAATTATTTTTACTTACAAGAACCTATTTTTTATATGTAAATTATAGTTTCAATGTAAAATCCTTTTTCCTACAAATTATTTCAAAAACTAGCTATTTCATGTTCATATGTAATTAGAGATATTTTTAGTTTGAATTGGAGAAGGGAGATTAAATAAGTTTGGTTTGATTTTCCTCACAAAGGGCCGAGAGTTTGAGGTTGGACTAAATGAGTAGTTTTATTTTGTTATTTTCTGTCAAATATGAGGTGGAGAGTTTGAAATATTAGGAGTTAATGATTTGGTGATTACTCACCACTCTAAATGTGGAGTGGAAGTCTATATAGCATACGTGCATGTGTCTAAGTGCATGAGTTTGGCTTTATTTTCTCACAAAGGCTAAGTAGAGTTTTGTCAACCATTAGAGAATAAAGAGGAGGGGTTAGTCACCACTCTAGATAGGTTAAGGTGGAAGTTGGTAATTAATAGAAGCTAAAAATTAGGGTGTGGAGGTGGGAAGCCTTCGGCTTATACGTGTGGCTAAGTGTTGAGTTTGGTTTGATATTTTTACCAAGTAGGAGTGAGTTGGCAAGTTGAGTTAATGTAGAGAGATTACTCACCCCTAAACATTGGAGAGGTGTGAGTCTATATAGAGCCATAGACTAGGTATGTGTATGTATTGGCATGCATGTGGCAATATGTTGTTGTTGTTTTAGAATGCTTACTCACTACCTAGGGGAATTTCATTTAATTGTCTATATTCTCTCTTCAATGCTTCAATCTATCATTCCAAATTTTCCAATGAGGTGAGAACGGGTGGGATGCATATCCCTTAGACTTTGAACGTGGCTTTTGAGTGTTTGTTCACCTTGCATGGTATTGATTAACTTCACATTTGTTGTTTTTCTATTGAACCACATATCATGGCTGATAATTGTTGAGGATTCATTCCCCAAATTGTTTGGATGTGGCCTTTGGGTGTAAGGAACACCTTGCATGATATTCATTAATTCATGATTAATCTAACACTTGTTTTTCCATTGGCACACATTTCATTGCTAAGGATTAGGACAACATTTGTTGCCTTGTGATTGGAACACATTTCATGGTGATGATTAGGTTAACATTTGGTGAGTTTCTATTGGAACACATTTTATGTTTAATGATTGGCACTACACTTGCTTTGTTTCTATTGGCACACTTGTGGAGATTCTTTGGAGAGGAGAGAAGACGATGAAGAACCCCAGTGGATGTAGTCGATTTGGCGAACCACTTAAATCTTATGTGTTTACCCCAGTGGATGTAGTCGATTTGGCGAACCACTTAAATCTTATGTGTTTATGCGTTTACATTTTGAGATCATTGACATGAGAAGCATTTCCACCAAACCATCAAAAATCTCCATTTATTTTTCCTTGAGAATGATGTACAAAAGTGTGAGACAAATCCCAGAAAGTACATGAGACCTTACCCAACAAATCTCCACCAAACTCCATCTATCAAGAGAAAGATATCCAAAACTAGAAATTCGTCCAGCCTATTTAACAGATCAAAACACCATCATCCATATATTATATTATAATAATTCCTTCATGAGAGTTGTTCGTCTGTCTCTCTACCATGATATATCAAACTTTTCAGAAAAATCCAACGGTGTGATCGTCCAATATTTTTGAAATACCAACTCATGTCTCTAATCCCGCAGAAAACTGGACAGCCATGTTATGAGTACCAAAACCCTATTTTTCGTAACTCTAATCGAAACACTTCCTTTACAAAAGTTGTTCCTTATCAAATTCTTTATAACATATCCAAAAACCACGACAATCTAATCTATGTGCTGACTTGTATCCCAGTTCAAACGGTTGATGTTTGGTTGAGCTAGCCTTCTCTGCCAACCTCTTTGCATGGCCAACATCTCTAGTTTCTTTGGCTCACTTTCATGGAAGTTTTTCAACAATCTAACTCCTATTACATATGTAGAGTTTCAGCTATATTAAAGAAGAGGAAGGGGAAGTGGTGAAGGAAGAAAGAGAACAAGAGAGAGGAAATGAAATTGAAACAATAAAAAAATGAGGAAATGGTAACATATTGCTTATCATTTATATTATAGATTATTATTTTGTTAATATTATGATTAAATTACTCTTGTTACTAATCAATTTGATTTATGTTGAAGTTGCAAGCTTGTTAGATAAAATGTGAGTATTGATATCTATGTGAACATGACATATACATATGCATTGCAAAGCAAGAAAAAGAGTTGTGTTGAGTTTGTAAAGTGTTTGTGTTGTGAGGATATTCAAGGGCTGAAGTTTGCCTTGAATATAAAATAATGAACCGTGTATATGTAAGGCGTAGGGTGCAGGGCTTAAGTATACAATTGGTTGATTGTAAAAATAATGAAATCTTGTATATGTCAGGCGTAGGGTGTAGGCCTTGAATATACAATTGGGTGTAAGGGGAAGTGCTTGTTTAATAAAGTGGAAACTGAGAGTTTAATTACAAAAATTGGGTTTAAGGGATGAACGGGAGTTAACTCATATTCTAACGTACTCGGAGCCAAGTAGTATAAGCATGGTATGGGATGTGCAGGCTTGGGTGCCTTAGATATGTGTTGACGAGATTAGAAGGGAGTGAGTACCTTCATGCATCTCATTGCATACATTTTATGTATTTGCAAGAGCTACTCATATCAATTATTATTTAAGTTGGTACTTTTGTTATGAATTAATTTTGGTATACTAATATTTTATTTCCACTGCGTATTTGATAAATTTTATGTAAGATTTTGTTATCTAATGTAAGTATAATCATTATAATTTTATTTTATTTTCCACCATATCTTGGTTGTAGATTTTATTTCTATAGCTAAGATATGGCTCACACCCTAACTCGTAAATAGTCTTTATTCGCAGGTCAGGGCGTGACATTGTATCTTGTATATACATTTCAGTTATGCAATATAATGAAAATTAAGCCATAAAGTTGTATTTGGCATCAAAGCCAAGTTTGTAGTAACCCTAGAAACTGTAAAACAATATTTTTCTTCCGTTGCTGTATTCGGTCGACTTGTTCTTGCTGCTGCTGTGTGTGGTGTTGTGCTTTTGCAAGTGTATCGTGTATTGACTTGCAGTGTGTAGTTGTCTGCTGCTTGTCTACTACCATACAAATACTTGATGCTGCTACGGTATTGGCTGTGTGCTTCAATTAGAGTGGTTGCGTGGAAAGTTGTGATGTCCCATCACTTATTGTCTGTACCTCAAGTCACTAAACAATTGGATTGTGTTGTATTAATGTATCCTTCATTTTGCTTACTTCAAGATATTCAGACAAAGGAGATCATTGGGCATGGCATTAAGAGAGATGGGCTATA